TTCATTTTCAATTCATTCAGAGAACAGTTCTCTTTTTGCTGTCTATTATGTGCCAAGTTCTGTGTATGGTCTCATCTCTCAAGAGGCTCATAAAGAGGAGATAAATGTATGAATATGCAATTTTGGTATAATCTGATATATGTTACTTTAGAGATATTCAGAGTGATATGAGAGCATGGACAAGTGATCACTCACTTCTGGCTTGTGCAGTCAGGATAATCTTCCCCCATGGGGCAACACATGAATGAGACTTGAAGGATGAAAGAAGCTCTTCAAGCAAACAAAGGTGGGGAAACCGTGCCAGAAGAAAGAACTGAGATGTGCAAATGCACAGCATTCAAGAGAGCTCTCTATGTTTGGACTGTGACAAGTAGGTATGGCTGGTGAGTCTGAAAGCGTGGCCAGAGAGGAGTTCTTCCTTGTATGCATTTACAATCTATCAGCACTGTGCTGTACACTTATGCTTCTTCCACCTCAAGACTTCTGTATAGGCCCTCTGTTTTCTTTAAAAAAGCTATCCTCTAAAGATTTCTTAGCCCTGTAGCAATACTGCCCCTACTTTAGAGTTGACGAAGTGGAGGCTTACAGACAGTAAATGACCATGGACATGTGGCTGGTGGTGGAGACAGGATGAAAATTCAGGCAGTCTGATTCTAGAGCCTAAGCCAGAAGACACTGTGAATTCTGCTTAATTCCTTTTCACATGGACTCAGGCTCCTGTGTTAATGTGGTGGTTATTTTTCAAGTCACTATCTTGTCAATGTTCATTTTATGGAAGAATATCCAGAGCACAAACTGTCATAGCAAGAAGGGAATTGCTTGACCAGTGCAGTTTAGAGCAGGACTGGTGTTTCCACTCACCTTGAGACCATTCTCACAACAATGGAGAGGGAGACCATGTGGCCTTTCTTAGTCACATCTTATAGGTAAGTAATGATCAGTCCACAGTCAACCAAAGTCACTGTGTTAACCATTACTCCCTTATTTGCCTGCCTAATTCGGGTCTCCATTTAAAAGTCACTTTTGGAGCCCTTAAACTATTTAGGTCCCCCTGCCATATGATTTCAGAGGACCTCCCACTCCCCCCAGTGTGATGCTTATCACAATTTATGGTAGATATTTCTCTAATGGTCTCTGTCTTCCCTGATAGATTTTTAAAGCTCCATGAAGACAGAGGCTTATCTTGATTGCCATGGAATCCCCTTAACTTAGCCTCTGGTAGGTGTGTTCAATGTGTAGTTATTGAATGAGTTAAGTCTTTCTTCCCTTGTGCTATTGTTTCCATCCCTCCTTGACCATAAGGGTCACCACTATCTTGATTTCAGGCAGCACAGACTAGTTTTGCCTATTATGAACTTCATAAAAATGGGATCAAACAGCATGTACTCTTTTTTTTCATTTATTTTTATTAGTTGGAGGCTAATTACTTTACAATATTGTAGTGGTTTTGCCTTACATTGACATGAATCAGCCATGGATTTACATGTGTTCCCCATCCTGATCCCCCCTCCCGCCTCCCTCCCCATCCCATCCCTCTGGGTCTTCCCAGTGCACCAGCCCTGAGCACTTGTCTCATGCATCCAACCTGGGCTGGTGATCTGTTTCACCCTTGATAGTTTACTTGTTTCAATGCTGTTCTCTCAGAACATCCCACTCTCGCCTTCTCCCACAGAGTCTAAAAGTCTGTTCTGTACATCTGTGTCTCTTTTTCTGTTTTGCGTATAGGGTTATTGTTACCATCTTTTAAAATTCCATATATATGTGTTAGTATACTGTATTGGTGTTTATCTTTCTGGCTTACTTCACTCTGTATAATGGGCTCCAGTTTCATCCATTTCATTAGAACTGATTCAAATGAATTCTTTTTGAAGGTTGAGTAATATTCCATAGTGTCTATGTGCCACAGCTTCCTTATCCATTCATCTGCTAATGGGCATCTAGGTTGCTTCCATGTCCTGGCTATTATAAACAGTGCTGTGATGAACATTGGGGTGCATGTGTCTCTTTCAGATCTAGTTTCCTCGGTGTGTATGCCCAGGAGTGGGATCACTGGGTCATATGGCAGTTCTAGTTCCAGTTTTTTAAGGAATCTCCACACTGTTCTCCGTAGTGGCTGTACTAGTTTGCATTCCCACCAACAGTGTAAGAGGCTTCCCTTTTCTCCACACCCTCTCCAGCATTTATTAATTATTAATAATTATTAATAGAGGAGTAATAGAGGACTTTAAAAAAAGAAAAAAGAGAAAAAAATTTTTAATTAAAAAAATAATCATAATAGTAAAAATATATCTAGGAATTTCTCTGGAGCTGTTGTGGGCAGTGTGGGTTCAGTTCAGTTTCAGATAGCTCTTTGTTCTAGCTTACACTTCTTGATATCTAGTTGGTGTTAACTACAGGGATTTTAGTCTGTTGCACCGGTCACTTCTGAAGCGGTTCCCTTTGTTTATTTGGCTTCTGTTTGCATGTCTCTTCAGTGTCTAATTTCAGCCCTGACACAGGCGGGCGGAGGTGGTCTCTTGTTTAGGTTCACTTGTTCAGTGGTGCTGCGGGGAGGGAGGGGCGCTGCAGACAAATGTCACTGGCATGTGTGGGGAGCACTTGCAGTGTTCTGGCCACACTGGGTTTGCCCCCGCTTGCAGCGTATGTGCTTCCCCCATCTACACTGCTCAGGCTCCAGGCTGCTCTCCAGGGAGTGGGCCCTAGGTTGCGTGCACTTCCCAGGCCTAAGCCGCTCAGATTCGGGTTCTCGAGTAGTCCACAAAGGCACAGACTCGGTTGGGCCTGCGTTTTGTGCCTTCCCCGCCCGAGCAGCTCAGGCAGGCAGGAGCTTGATGAGTGCACTCTCCCGGGTCGGGTGCGTCTTGTCTCTGTTCTGGGGAGCTGATTTCTGGCTGCGACACTCCCGGCGGATGTCGACCATCCAGAATCTCAGGAAGTCTTTGGTTAGAAGCTGGAAGCCTGTTTGCTGTTCGGTAGGGGGTGCCATCTCTGGGGCTGAGTTTGCCCCTTTCCCCTTCTCCCTGCCTCCTGCCTCTGGTGGGGGATGGGCTGGCCCACAGCTGGCTAGCTCTTCTCTGCTATTCCCTCAGTCCTTCATTCTGGGAACGGGCAGGTAGTGCCTAAATTTAGGGCTTTTCCCAGGTTAATTCTCTCTTTCTTGCTATCCCACAGTTTAAGTTGCCATCTCACGTTAGCTCCCTCTGATTGCCCTCAGGACATTCAGGCCCGGTCCTTACCCTAAGCAATGCTGCCCACTCCTCTCCGTTCCGCCCCCACTTGCTGGTGGCGGATGTAAGCGTCTGGGGGTACTTTTCTGCTGGGAGTTGCTTTTAGGCATGTAATCTGTGGGTTTTATTTACTTTTCTTCCCAGTTAGGTTGCCCTCCGAGATTCGAAAACTTCCCTGAGACCCACCAGTGAGAGGGTTTCCTGGTGTCTGGAAACTTCCTCTATTAAGACTCCCTTCCCGGGATGGCTCTCCGTCCCTAGCTCTTTTGTCTCTCTTTTTATCTTTTATACTTTGTCCTACCTCCTTTTGAAGACAATGGGCTGCTTTTCTGGGTGTCTGATGTCCTCTGCTAGCGATCAGATGTTGTTTTGTGGAGTTTGCTCAGCGTTCAAATGATCTTTCGATGAATTTGTGGGGGAGAAAGTGGTCTCTCCGTCCTATTCCTCCGCCATCTCAGCTCCCTCCTCAGCATGTACTCTTTTGTGTTGGGTTTCTTTTGTTCAATGTATCATGTGTGCCATATATTTTCAATCTATATCACTTCCTACCAGAGTGCTACCAGATAGCCTCCAAGATTTCCTACCTCCTCCTCTGCTTAGTTCCCCAGACTGGGAGTTTGATGGATTTTACTCCTGTGGTTAGGTCATGTTAGGTCATGCTATATGATGCATGTGACTGGAAAGAGATTATCCAGGTGGCCCTGACCTAATCACATAGCCATTTTATTTTCTTAATTAACAGTTTTATTGAAATATAACCCACATACCATAAAATTCATCCGAGTTTTGTCCTGCATTCATTCTGATTGCCTGTGGGCTTGGACTTAACTCTGCCCTCTTACTCTTCATCCTGCTAGAACTAATCCTCGGTTAGTTCTAGGTTTTACTCTTCCTTTCTTTTAGACTGATATTATCCATCCCACTCCATTTTTCTTCATTGTTTGGTAACGTTGTTTCTGTCTTGTAGTGGTTATCTTAGGACATTTTTAATGTGTATGCTTGTCTTAAATTTTAATTTCTACCCAACTTACATATAAATGTGGTTCTGTTGTATGTTGTGTTTTAATCAGTAAGTTGCTCCGACTCTTTTGTGACCCCATGGACTGTGGCCCTTCAGACTCCTCTGTCCCTGGAATTCTTTAGGCAAAAATACTTGAGTGGGTAGCCATTACCTTCTCCAGGGGATGTTCCCAATCCAGGGGTGGAAACCAGGCTTCTTGCACTGGCTCCTGCGTTGGCAGGTGGGTTCCATACTACTGAGCCTCTAGGAAAGCCCCCAAGTAGTATAATTCACTTTCAGGCACACCTGAGGATGGGCCTACCTACTCACAGACACCCACGGGTCAATTCCATCTTCAGCTCTGCCTTAGAGGAGTTGATTTTTGTCCTTTCCACTGACACAGCAGTCACAAAGGCTGCTGGTCCTGTGGACATTGGAGAGGAAAACCGGGCCAGGGAAGCGCCTCTCACATGCCCACTCTCTCACTGCTTCCTGTCCCCCACCCCGCAACTTTCAGGGAGCCTTCCACCTGACCAGAGGAGGCTGGAAGCCGGATCTGGGTCACCCCTCCCCAGATCTGAAGGTGCTTTTACACGTACAGCCTGAGCCCTCTCCACAAGCGGGAGAGGCAAGCAGGCAAATGCCCACTTTCTGCCTGGGTCAGGGCTGGGGTCGGGGGAGGACGGGGTCTGGCTGCCTGGCCCTCACGCCAGGCCGGTCTGCTCCAGGACAGGATCCGGCCCTTCTTGGCCGTGTCTAAGCGGTGCCCCGCCTCAGCCCGTCCTGGCCACGCAGCATCTTCTCCACCGCGCTTTGCCCACGTGCACCTGGCACCTCGGGGCCTCCAGGAGCAGGCGTTTGGCGTCACGGATCTTCTTTTTACCCCCTTTCCCCTTGAAATCCCCGACTTTGCCCTCGTCCAGGTCCCACAACCCCTCAAGCCCGGCCTGCGGCGCCTGCGCTCTGGCAGCTGCCAGTAGCTCCTGCTCATCAGCGGCGTGAGGTTCCCCTTCCGCTTTTGCCTCTACTTCCGGCCCTGCTTCTTGTGGGAGGGCTGTTCCTTGGTCACCTCTCCTTGTTGAAGAGCAACCTGGCACAGGTGTCTCTGCGGCCTCAGTTACCGCTGAGGCCTGGGCTGCCTTAGCCTTTGCTCTCCTTCCTTCTGCTCCTCTTTTGGTCCTGCTCCTGCTTTCTGCGTCATCTTTTCTTCAAAGCCGGGGAGACAGCTCTTAGGCGCTGCCCTGGCCCCCGGGCCTCCTGTATCTTCTCACGCAGGCGCTGTCCCAGGACATCCAAGGCACAGTCCGGCTCCTGGGCCCTGCCGTCTGCAGTGGCTGAGGCCGGCTTCCTGGTCTGACATTCCTCTGCAGGGGCCCGAGTGTTTGGCTCCACAGCCTTCTCCTCCCATGTTTTCTCCTGTCCTTCCTTTTTTTGCGGGCCTAAAGTTTCTGCCGTCTATGGGGTCGCACAGAGTCGGACACGACTGAAGTGACTTAGCAGCAGCAGCAGCAACAGTTTCTGAGACTCGAGTTTTACCAGCAGACTTGTGCTTCTGTGGCTTGGATGCAGCTGGGAGCAGACCTTCGTGGCCAGGCTCTGCAGGTAGGCATCCTTTGCAAGCAGAGAACCCATGGCTGAAGGCCCCGGGGTCTCTGGGGGCTTGCTTGGACTCTTACTCGAGGGGAGAAGGGCTGGGGTCCATTGTCCCAGGCCAGTATCCGCGCACCCCCACGCCCCAGCTGAAAACCACCTCATGTAGCCACTTTAAATGCAGAATCTTCCCAGGTTGGCATCCGCTACCTAGAAAATAGGGGCTTCAGTCCTACAACTTCAAGGAACTGAATTCTGGCAATGACAATGGGTTTGGAACCGGATTTGCTCCCGGAAAAGGTGGCCGACATCTTGATCTCAGTCTTGTAATACTGAAAATAGAAAACCTAGCCATGTCATGCTGGACTTTTACAAAACTGTGCACTGGTAAGTGGTACTTCTGAAAAATTATTATTTTTTAATTGAAAAAATGTGTTTTTGCTGTACAACAAAGTGAATCAGCTATATGTATACATATATCCCCTCCCTCATATAAGTGGTATTTTTTAAAAGCAGCTGAATTTGTAGCAGTTTGCTACTCAGCTATAGGAAAGTATTGAGAGTGTGGTACCCAGCTCTTGGCTTGTTTGTAGGTAGTAATCCTGTAAAACAAGTTGCCTCGTTATGTAAACATTCTGTAGCTACTTTATTACAGAGGACTCAACATGAAGTTATGTTTCTTAAAAGTAGAAATTTTATAGATGCTTTCCTAAGCTTGCTTTCTGGTGGAGATAAGTTCTTGTTGTTTTAATATGTATCTGTTTTGGCTGTTCAGTTTAGTTCAGTTCAGTCGCTCAGTCGTGTCCAACTCTTTGCAACCCATGGACTGCAGCATGCCAGGCTTCCCTGTCCATCACCAACTCCCATAGCCTACTCAAACTCATGTCCATGGAGTTGGTGATGCCATCCAACCATCTCATCCTCTACCATCCCCTTCTCTTTCCGCCTTCGGTCTTTCCCAGCATCAGAGTCTTTTCAAATGAGTCAGTTCTTTGCATCAGGTGGCCAAAGTATTGGAGTTTCAGCTTCAGCATAAGTCCTTCCAATGAATATTCAGGACTGATTTCCTTAAGGATGGATTGGTTGGATCTCCTTGCAGTCCAAGGGACTCTCAAGAGTCTTCTCCAACACCACAGTTCAAAAGCATCAGTTCTTCAGATCTCAGCTTTCTTTATAGTCCAGCTCTCACATTCATAGATAACTAGTGGAAAGACCATAGCTTTGACTAGACAGACCTTTGTTGACAAAGTAATGTCTCTGCTTTTTAATATGCTGTCTGGGTTGGTCATAACTTTTCCTCCAAGGAGCAAGTGTCTTTTAATTTCATGGCTGCAGGCACCATCTGCAGTGATTTTGGAGTCCCCCAAAATAAAGTCTCTCAGTGTTTCCAGTATTTCCCCATCTATTTGCCATGAAGTGATGGGACCAGATACCATGGTCTTAGTTTTCTAAGTTTCTTTAGTTTTCTAAGTGGGCTTCTTAGTTGCAGCACTTAGACTCTTAGTTGGACACGGGGGGATCTAATTCCCTAACCAGGCATTGATCCCAAGCCGTCTGCATTGGGAGTGCAGAGTCTTACCTATTGGACTACCAGGGAAGTCCCCAAGATACATTTTTAAACTACTGGTTTTTTGTCAGATTTTAGGATTATGGTAGTGTGGTTTTTTCATTCAGGCTATTAGCTCAGATGATTGTCAGACGTTCTGCACTGACCTGGCAGTACACAAACACTGAGCTCTGGGTGTGCGTCAGAGCTTGAAACTTGGCTCTGCCAACTCTTAGTTGTGTGGCATGGCGAGCTACATACCACCTCATGAACCTCAGCTTCTTCGCTTGAGATGGGTATAATAGTGTCCATCTTGTGGGCTGTCTCTGAAGTTGGCAGATGTGTATATAAAGTGCCTCACTACTCCTTTAGGCTTTACCCTTCACTTATCCTTACTCCTTACTCCTTTTCTTTTTAAAAACTTGGTTTTATATCAGTTCAGTTCAGTCTCTCAGTCGTGTCCGACTCTTTGCGACCCCATGAATCGCAGCATGGCAGGCCTCCCTGTCCATCACCAACTCCCAGAGTTTACTCAAACTCATGCCCATCGAGTTGGTGATGCCATCCAACCATCTCATCCTCTGTCCTCCCCTTCTCCTGCCCCCAGTCCCTCCCAGCATCAGGGTCTTTTCCAATGAGTCAACTCTTCCCATGAGGTAAAGTATTGGAGTTTCAGCTTCAGCATCAGTCCTTCCAGTGAACACCCAGGACTGATTTCCTTTAGGATGGACTGGTTGGATCTCCTTGCAGTCCAAGGGACTCTCTAGAGTCTTCTCCAACACCACAGTTCAAAAGCATCAATTTTTCGGCGCTCAGCTTTCCTCACAGTCCAACTCTCACATCCATACATGACCACTGGAAAAACCATAGCCTTGACTAGACGAACCTTTGTTGGCAAAGTAATGTCTCTGCTTTTTAATATGCTGCCTAGGTTGGTCATAACTTTCCTTCCAAGAAGTAAGCGTCTTTTAATTTTATGGCTGCAGTCACCATCTGCAGTGATTTTGGAGCCCCCCAAAATAAAGACTGACACTGTTTCCATTGTTTTCCTATCTATTTCCCATGAAGTGATGGGACCAGATGCCATGATCTTAGTTTTCTGAATGTTGAGCTTTAAGCCAACTTTTTCACTCTCCTCTTTCACTTTCATCAAGGGGCTTTTTAGTTCCTCTTCACTTTCTGCCAGAAGGGTGGTGTCATCTGCATATCTGAGGTTATTGATATTTCTCCCAGCAATCTTGATTCCAGCTTGTGCTTCTTCCAGCCCAGCATGTCTCATGATGTACTCTGCATATAAGTTAAATAAGCAGGGTAACAATATACAGCCTTGACATACTCCTTTTCCTATTTGGAACCAGTCTGTTGTTCCATGTCCAGTTCTAACTGTTGCTTCCTGACCTGCATACAGGTTTCTCAAGAGGCAGGTCAGGTGGTCTGGTATTCCCATCTCTTTCAGAATTTTCCACAGTTTATTGTGACCCACAGAGTCGAAGGCTTTGGCATAGCCAATAAAGCAGAAATATATGTTTTTCTAGAACTCTCTCGCTTTTTCAATGATCCAGCGGATGTTGGCAATTTGATCTCTGGTTCCTCTGCCTTTTCTAAAGCCAGCTTGAACATCTGGAAGTTCACGGTTCATGTATTGCTGAAGCCTGGCTTGGAGAATTTTGAGCATTGCTTTGCTAACATGTGAGATGAGTGCAATTGTGCGGTAGTTTGAGCATTCTTTGGCATTGCCTTTCTTTGGGATTGGAATGAAAACTGACCTTTTCCAGTCCTGTGGCCACTGCCGAGTTTTCCAAATTTGCTGGCATATTGAGTGCAGCACTTTGACAGCATCCTCTTTCAGCATTTGAAATAGGTCAACTGGAATTCCATCACCTCCACTAGCTTTGTTTGTAGTGATGCTTTCTAAGGCCCACCTGACTTCACATTCCAGGATGCCTGGTTCTAGGTGAGTGATCACACCATCATGATTATCTGGGTCATGAAGGTCTTTTTTGTACAGTTCTTCTGTGTATTCTTGCCACCTCTTCTTAATATCTTCTGCTTCTGTTAGGTCCATACCATTTCTGTGCTTTATTGAACCCGTCTTTGCATGAAATGTTCCCCTGATATCTCTAATTTTCTTGAAGAGATCTCTAACCCTAACCCTAACCCTAATTCTTTCCCATTCTGTTGTTTTCCTCTATTTCTTTGCGTTGATCCCTAAGGAAGGCTTTCTTATCTCTCCTTGCTATTCTTTGGTTTTATATAGAGACAAAAAATAAACAATGGAGAGTAAACAATAAGAAAAGCCTCTTGGGTTTCATCCTCAGTTTCTTTAATAAATTCACTTGTCTATAGAGGACACTTGTCTATAGGGGTTCCATACGGAGCCCCAAGAAGAAATGTTTCCTGCCCTCAGGGGGTTGACATTCAAAAGGAGACAGGATAAGTTCACATATATCATTTTCTCATGTTTGTGTTTCCCTAGTATTCTCTCTTTTGTGACAAGCAGGGTGTGGTTCCTTTAGCAAATGGGATTGCTCTAGTGTGTTTTTAAGACCAGTGAAGCAATCTTTCCATTGTGAGCTACCCTTGGAAGGGAGAATGGGAATACAAGGAAGGAATATGTATTTTTTTCAAGGTAGTGGCACATGACTGACAGCCCCTGTTGCCTGTGGTCTACAGGAATGCTTCTGCAACAGAGCCTGTAAACATAACATTCGTGACTAAGTGTTTTGTCGAATGGAAAAATCAATGACTAGACTAGGAAAGAAACCGTCATCATAGACAAATAGCAGGCTAGCATTAGTGGGACAGGAGGATCATAAACTTGAGGTAGGGACTGTTGAACACACTCAACTTATTAAAAAAAAGCAGTTTTAATTTTCCTAATTGTTCCCCCAAACACAGATGAAGGGTACAGTCTTGTGCAGTTGAATTTGGTTGCTGTTATATAAAACTTTTAACAAAGTTTAGGAGATCTTTCTTTTTTTTTCCACAAAAACCAGTGAGATTCTTACACTTCACTTGGGAATTGTGTATGAATTCTGAATACAGATGTGTGTGTGTCTTCATTTCCCATCAACACAGATGTTTATTTCAGAAGGACAATCAGTGTAGACATTTCCTGGGCTGTTACCCAAGGTTTTTTTCACAAGAATATTGTCTTATGAAATAGAGCAGCTGCTGGTATCTTTTATACTTATTGGAAAATTCTTTAACCTTTTAAAAATAGTTTTTATTGAGGTATAATTGATATACTGTGTTATATTAGTTGCAGGTGTATAGCATAGTGATTTGATATTTGCATACATTGCAAAATGATCACCACTATGTCTCGTTACCATTAGTCACCATACAAAGCAAATGCAATATTACTGACTATAACTTTTTAAAAAAGGATTTCTACAAAGGTGAGATGATTTTGTTTTATTGTTAGAATATCTGCTTCTTAAGGGAAACCTAGTTAACTCCTATGGGCTGGGATCCAGGAAAAAGAAAGTAGAACTAGTATAGGCAATATGGCTGATATAGATTGCTGTTATGATAAAGGGAAGATGAAAATTGAAATAATGAATTTTTCTTATTTTACAGTAAACAGAATGTTAGACTCCTGACAATGGACCTAGTTTCCAGTATCAGATGACTATTTTAAAAAAACCGTATCTAATTCACAATAAATGGGACACAATTATACTCCTTACTGTTTAGCACTTTCTAAACTCAAGGTAAATCAGTAAACTGCATGCTCTATGGGCATGGGCTTGCATACTCAGT